TAGGTTGTTTCCATCTCTTTGCTATTGTAAATAGTGCTGTGATGAACATGGGTGTGCTTGTTATCTGTTCCTGTCCTGGCTCTCACCTCTGTAGGATATATACCTGGTAATCAGATTGCTGGGTCAAATGGTATCTCCAATTCCAGCTTTCTAAGGAATCGCCATCCTGCTTTCCACAGTGGTTGTGTCACTTCACAGTCCCACCAGCAGTGTGTGAGTCCCAGTTTCTCCACGCCCCTGCCAGCATTTGTTATTCACAGCAGGTATCTTAACCAAGGGTCTGCATGAGAATCACATGTGACACTTGTCTAGATGCACCAAATCTAACCAAGGGGAAAAACCAGATAAAACCAAGTTCAGAAGATTCTACGAAACTGCTTGGCCTGCACACTTCGAAACCTCAGTGTCATCAAAGACAAAGGCAGGCTAAGGAACTGTTAATAAGTTCTCACACATTTAGTGACTTAAAGCAGCACAAATTGATTTTCACGCCGTTCTGGAGATCCGAAGTCCACAATCCAGTTCAGTGGGCTAATCTCCAGGTGTCAGCGGGGCTGGTTCCTTCTGGAGGCCGTCTTGTCCAGAGTTTAGTCAGCCCACACGCCTCCCTCCATCTTGAAAGCTGACAGAATAGCATCTTTTCTATAGTCTGATGTCCGCTTCCAGCCTTACTCCTACCTCCTCCTTCTGGGGATGCTTGTGATGACGTAACTGCACACCCGGGGAACCCAGGACCATCTGCTCATTGCATGGTCCCTAACTCAGTCACCTCTAAGGTAACACAGGTCCAGGCGGTAGGACTGGATGTCTCTGGGCTGTCATTCAGGAAAGCCCAGAAGCCACTGCAGGCTAAAGGAGACTGAAAGGCATGACAACTAATGTGCTGCTGTGGTTCTGACTCAGATGCTGGATGGGAAAAAGCACGCTATCCCAACATGGGGCCAGGCAGTGAACTCCAGGTGTGTCCTCTATCAAGCCATAGCACTGAATCAGTTCACTGATTGTACCGCGGTTAGGGACTGAGCTGTGTCCACAGAAAGGTATGTGGAAGTCCTCACCCCTGTGCCTAGGAGCAGGACCCTGTGTAGAAATAGGATGTCTTTTGTTAAGGAGCTCATGCTGGAGTGGGGAGAAGACCCTTGTTTTCAGGTGACATGCTCAAGGGTTTGGAGGTAAAGGGACAAGATGTTGGAAGCTTACTCTCTAAGGGCTTAGCATATCTCTCCCACATGTGTGTGTATGTGTGAATGTATATATGTGCGCCTTGGAGGTGAGAATGGCCAGACTTTGTCTCACCTACTTTGGTCATGTTGTCAGAAGGGACCAGTCCCTGGAGAAGGACGTCATGCCTAGTAAAGTGGAGGGTCAATGAAGAAGGGGAAGGCCCTCAACAAGATGGACTGACACAGGGGCTGCAACGATGGGCTCAGGTATAGCAAGGATTGTGAGGCTGGCGCGGGACCGGGCGTTGTCCTGCTGTACACGGGTCACTGTGAGTCGGAGCTGACCTGACAGCACCTAACAACAGCAACACGTGTGTGTAGAGAGAAAATGTGACAGCAAAATGTCACTCATTGGTAAATGTATTTTTCTTGAAACTTTTTCATAGGGTCCCCCCCGCCCCCCCCCCTTCAAATTGCTTTAAAAAATGCAGGTGCCAGGGCTCTATCCCCAGAATTGTCTAGATGAGGCCAGTCATGAATATTTTGGAAAATCATTTTAGGTAAGGACAAAGCATATTCTGCTTCAGAAATCCCTGTTGTCGAGAGGGTGGGGGGAGGGCTGTAGAGATTCCCGGATGGAGCATCTGCGCGCCAGAGTTGGGGAGGTCAGGGATACGGGGACACGCACAGACACAAATGACTGAGCCGATGCATGGAGGAAAGCTCATGGCCCCAGAGAGACAGTGAAGAGTTGCGTTAGCTCCTGCTAGTTGTCGGGTTTTCAATTCCGGTTTCCACGAGGCCTGTCTGTCCAGCACTTTCCTTGGATAGTCACGAAATCTCAGCCACTCTGTGGCAGGAGGATGGGCAATGCACCTCCATAAAGATTTACCCTTGGAAACCCAATGAGGGTCACTATGAGCCAGAATCAACTCCATAGCAGTGAGTGGTTTCTTGGCTTGGTCTTGACCACTCCCTCTTCACTTTGTTCTTCATGAGACCAGACTGTTGTCTCTTGTAATGCCAACAGCCCCCATTGGAACACCTGATCAGTAATAATTATCACTGACAGTTTATTCAGTGCTAGCAACTACTCTTGCTTTTAAATTAGCTCTTACATACCACTATCCTCATTTCATAAATGAGCAAAAAGCTATACTAACTTGCCCAACGTTGTACAACCAGTGGGGATCCAGACCCAGTCTCTCTCGACACCAGTCTGCTTTGGAGGCTGACATGGCCTGAGCTCAGCTGGGCTCTCTTCATACTTTTCAAGATTATGGAGTTTTTGTTATTTACTTACTTCTCCACAGTGTGGCATTGCAGTTTTTTTCCTTTGTCCCAAGAGTTATTCAAGAAGGTATTTTAAAAATGTCTAAATGTTTTTTTTGTTTTGTGTTAACCTAATGTTTTTCACTTATATTTATTGTGTTTATGTGAGAGAATGTGGCCTATTTCTGCTTGTGGGACTTTTTAAAATTTTTATTTGTTGTCTATTAAATGGTTCATTGTGGCATTTATTTTAGTCCCCCTTTCGCTGTACCTGTCTCTCCCTTGAAACTGTGAAACCTCTGAGGTCAGGGATTATGCGGTATCCACCCCCCCACCTCGGTATTGACCACACAGTAACTGCACAGGAGAGAGATTTACCAAAGAAGATTGGAAAAAGGGACTTCAGTGCCTGTGCACATGGAGACTGTCAAAAAGGAGTCCTGGTGGCTCAACGGTTAAGCTGCTAATCAAAAGGTCGGCGGTTCAAGCCCAGCCAGGGGCTCCGTGGGAGAAAAGGCCTGGTAATGTGCGCCTGTGAAACTGCAGCCCAGGAAGCCCGAGGGGCAGCTGCATCGGCAGAGGGTCGCTATGAGCCGGAATCGACTCAACAGCGCACAACACAACATACACGTCAAAAGGCCAGAGAGACTGCCATTTTTTTTGTTTTGTTTTGATGCCTTTGGCAGAAAAGGAAACTTAGTGTCCGTAACGATGAGGTTAAGGTCCAGTCAAGGCAACAAGGTGTTATGGACTGACGTCCATTTTGGCCCCACAGACTTTTGGTTACAGAACAACACATTTGTGTGTCACTGAACCTGTACCTGACAGTCATCCCTCTAGTGTCCCCTCCCTTCTCTCCTGTAGTTCTGCCTCCTTTCTCGGCTCTGCCCCACAGCCCTGGGGACAGTAGGCACAGCCCGTGTGGGTGAGGACAGCAGCAGCAGCAGGGTGAGTGGCACTGGATAAGTGAGGCAGGGACGCAGAGGCATCCCATGGCTTGCCCAAAGACCGTTGCTTTCCCAACTCCGACAGCACGCATACTCCACCACGCTGTAGACCGCGCCTGGCCTGGCCTAGTGGGTGGTTCAGATTGTAGGTATTTAATGAAAATTCTTGTTAAAATATTATCGAAAAGAAACTTGATGTCGCTGTGAGAGGTCTCCGGGTTCCTTTGTTCCTGTCACTTGTCCACGTCTTTTCTGGGCTCCGGCCAGTCTTCCCAGAGACCCTCTTCGTAGGAATTCCATCCTCCTGATCCACCAAGATTCAGAGCAGACCACATCTCCTCAGCCAGGTGCTCAAGAAGGCAGGCTTCTGAGATAGAGCAAGTGGACCTCATGGTTTTCCTGCCCCCCCCCACCACAGCAGGAGTCCTGGAGGGCAAGGCTGTACTCCTCAGCCTTGGGGCATGCATGTGGCCCACGGGAGGGAGGTAGACCAGCGAGCCTCTGTTCTGCGGTCCAGCCAGTTCCCATTGGTGCCGTCCCCCCGGCTCCTCCCTCAGTCCCACCTCCTTCCTGGGGCCCTGCCTGCTGCCCTGGACACAGTACACACAGCCCAGACTTTGGCTCAAAGGGACTCAAAAGAACTGCCTGGGTTGTCAGGGCGATGGCCAGCACCTTCATACCAGGGCTCAGCCCTCAAGACCCTCATTACATCCTGGGGTAAGAGTCTACGCAGAGCACTGTCCTGCTTGTTTTGGGGAATAAGGAAGGGTACAGGGATATGGGAAGGTGCTTTGGTGGCATAGTGGGTAAGGCATTTGGCTGCTAACCAGAAGGTTGTTGGTTCAAATCCACCAGCTGCTCCATGGGAGGAGGAAGCCTTGGAAACCCAATGGGGCTCACCATGAGTCAGAGTCAACTTAGTAGCAGTGGGTTTGGTTTGGTTTATATGGACATAGGAGTCATGCTGCCTAAATCTTGGGGAGCAAGTAGACATACTGATCTGGGAGGGCCAGAGCTGGGCCATGTATGGCAGTGGGTGAAAAAGTGGTAGCCAGCTGACAAGATTTCTGTTGTCTTTTCCATGAGGACAGGACAACAGAGAGAGGACGGAAGGTCAGGCACACAACCTGCACCTGCCCCAAATACACACACATCTGAGTCGGGGGCGGAGCAGGGACTGGTGATCCCTGCTCTGTCTCTGGGGCAGATGGGAGAGGGGCTCGGAGGGGAGCAGGCGCGCACTGTGCTCCAGGTGCGCTGGACGCTGCCCGCCGCTTCGCTTCAGCGTGGCCCAGACCTACGGGCAGGTGACTGGGCAGCTCCTTCGAGGCCCCCCGGCCTAGCCTGGCCCCCTGCCCACCGCACCCTTCTGCCTCCCATTCGGCCTCCGAGATCTCCTGATGCTCCCGGGGGAAGCCTCGCTCCCAGGTGAGGCCACGGCAGGCTCAGCGCCCGCATGATCCCTGGCTACACAGGTGGGACACAGGCACGGGCGGGGCCCCATCCCAGAACAAGTGTCCCCGGAACTAGCACGAATCTTCCAACGCCCCGCCTGCCCAGGTTTTGTTCCTCGGACACAGTTCACCTTTGCCAAGAGCTGCAGCCGGGTCTGGGCCGAGGCTCTGAGTGACTTTCCTCGGTGGCACGGGGGGCGAGACAGTCAGGAACTGCCAGAAGGGGTGGAGGGAGAGAAAGACACGGAGAGAGACCAAGAGCCAGACCTAGAGCCACAGAGGGAGCTGGAGCCGGAGGCAGAACAAGTGGGGCTCTGGCGGGGGGCGGCCACGAGGAGTGCAGCTGAGTGTGGTGTGCCCTGCACCTCCCTGGGAGTCTGGCCGACGTGCACCCGTTGAGTGCAGCGTGCGGTCTTCACCGCCAGCCACGCTAAGGTCAGGGGAGGCCGTGAGTGTAGCTGTGAGTGCGGCCGTGCTCTTCCTGTCCCCGGCGCCTGTGTCTGATGGCCGTATTTCCCCTCTTGTCACTTTCCCTCCCAGGCTTCTCCCTATTCTATGGATGCCAGGGACCCCCAGAAGTTCTTCATGTCCGGTGAGAGGAAGTGGGGAAAGACCAGAGGGCGGAGGAAGCCCGCCAGGCGTCCTGACTCGGCGCCTCCGTCCCCCAGGCTTCACCGGCCACGTGCCCCGGGCCCCCCTCCTCTTTGGCTCCAGCTTCCCTGTACTCACCAACCAGGCACTGGAGGCGTTTGCACAGATGCCCTCAAGGGGCAGAGGTCAGAAGGATCCCAAACATGTGACTCTACTTCCCAGGACCTACCCTCAGAACCTATGCCTTCTACCTCACTACGGAGGGTATGTGCCAGGTGAGGACAGCCCCAGGAGGTAGCTTTGGGGACTGGATGTCTGTGGATAGGTAGTGGGGGGGGGTGGTCTGGGATAGAAAAGGTGGGGGTTTATCCTGATGCAGAAGAGGAAACGGGTGGCTTGCGGTGTGTGTGTGGGTGGGGAGTGGTGGATTCTGGAGTAAAGTGGGCAGGGTCTGGGCTTTCCCAGGCCACTGGCTGTCCACTACCAAGTGTCCTGGCCACACAGGGTACAAGTTCCAGTTTGGCCACACATACGGGCATCTGACCCACGATGCACTGGGCCTCAGCACCCTCCAGAAGCAAGTCCTGGCATAGGTCCCTGGACTCCCGGTTCTCCCTGTCCTGTGTCTCCTATCCCAGCCGTCCCTTTCTGACGAGAGGTAGGGGCATAAAGGGACACCACGTTGGAGGCTGAGCACCTTTTTAATTAACAGATGTAATAAATAAATAAATAGATACACAAACAGAGGCCTGGGCTCCTCCCCCCTCTGACAACCAGGGCGTGGCCTCAGCCTATTTACAGCTGGGGGGCTGAAGGAGCTGGCCCCAATACTGTTATCATTCTCATCACCGCTGGGACTAGGAACTCTGCAAATGGGCCTTCTGGGCCACCACCCTCCACGGGGCCTGGTCTGCGCCCATGGAGTCCTGGCAGCCCACACTTGCTCCTTTCCTCCCTTCCTGGGGAGAGGTATGGACAAGGTGACTGGGACAGTCAGGAGTAATGAACACTGAACTCGGGGAGCAGGTGCCAGCCCAGGGCTGTGTGGCCCCTTGCTCTTCGTCCTCTCTCTGCAGCCGAGCCAGACAGGCTTGGGAGGGGCTCTCAGGCTTGGAGTTGGGGTGGGAGGGTCCCTGAGGCCCCCAGCATGCACAGGCCCTCAGTTCTGGCTGTTCCCAGGGGGTGGGCTTGGAGTTGGGGTCAAGGTCACGCAGGCCAGAGGCACCAGGCCAGTGTCAGGGCCACGGCGGCAGCGTACCCAGTCACCTCCGGCTGGCCCCAGGACACGCAGCACATCTCCCTTGTGGAAGCTCAGCTGTCCAGGGCCAGTGGCCAGGTGATGGCAGAGTGCCTGCACCTCGCTGGGAAAATGACAAACGGACATCAGAGAAGCCTGCTGAGGGCCACGCCCAGCCGCCGGCTGCCCCGTCCCAGGGCTCACCACGGAGGCTGGCAGGGCAGGGCAGGAGACAGTGGCTCCTGCAGGCTCTCCTTGGGCTCTGGCTCCCGGTGGGCACCCACTGTCTGGGCCATCAGCTGGAACACGGACTTGTCCAGGCTCAGCCAGTCTGAGGGCAGCCTAGGAAAGGGCAGCCAGGGCTCTCGCTCCGTCCATGCCCTGGCCTGGCTCAGGCCACCCCGTCCGCTACGCCCTGGGCTAGCTCTCACCTGTTCGTGGGTCGGACCTCACGTGGAGCTTTGCGGGAGCCAAAGAGGTGTCCCCACTTGATGCCCCCGGGTGACGGCTCCGAGGGCCCCTCTTCATTTTCTGCTGGGGGGGCCGTGGGCCCCTCCCTCTCCCGACTGCACCTCAGCTCAGCCATCACAGACTCAGGGGGGCTCCCCATCCAGAAGGGCCAGCCCCTGTCCCGGCCCAGGGCCTCCTCGGGGGCAGGGCAGGCCTCCGCTCCCTCCACGACCCCCTCTCGGGGGGGTGGAGCCTGGGGGGCCCCCCCACCCCCAGCCCCCTTCTTCTTCTCGCTGCTGCTGCTGCCGTTGCCGCCACCACGAGGGAACCGAGACCCTTCCACGGAGCCATCGATGTAGACCTGGGAGCTCTGCATGAGCTGGTACCACCAGCCAGCCTGGCCGCCTCGGGCCCACCTGCCAGGCCCTGTGCCCCCGGCCGCCTCTGCCGCTGCCTCTGCGGCCGCCGCCTCCTCCTCCTCTCTCCCTTCGGGGGCGCCCACGCCCTTTACGCGCTCCCCACGGGCCTCCTGGCCCCGGGCCAGCTGCCAGGTGGAGCGGGCGGACAGCAGCAGGTCCTGCGACCCGCGCAGCAGCGCCTTGTGCAGCCGCTGCCGCCGCCCGCTCTGCCGCAGCCGGTGCTGGAAGAGCGGGTCCAGGCCGAAGGGCAGCAGCGCCAGCGGCTGCAGCAGTAGCAGCAGCTCCTCCCAGAGGCCGGCGCACAGCGTGCGGGCCGCACGCAGGAAGCCCCAGGGCTGGTAGTGGGTCTGGATGACGTCTGGCGAGGAGGAGACAGGGGCTGCTGAGCACAGGCCGGCAGGGCAGGCCCGGCGCGCGACTCTTGCGAAGCGTCCTGGGCGCAGGCCCTGCGCCCTGCGGTACAGCCTGGGCACTCGGCAGCTTAGGAGCCCTGGGCTGTGAATGACTTGTACGGTGCGTCAAGAGCACCGTGTGACGTGCTGCCCTGAGCCCACAGGAGCTGCCTTCCAGATGGCTCGGTGTCCTGTGGACTCTGAGACTAACCAAAGCAGGAGCTGGGCAACATCTGGGTAGAGGCCCATCGCTCTGAGGACAAAGCCTGTGGCCTCCCCTCCCCCCGGCACCCGACAAGAGCTGTCTCTCCCTCTTGGGCCCATCCTAGCTGTGCCCTATGGAGTCGGCAAGCCAGCGCGGGGCTCTGGGTGTTACCTTCATGGTTGTAGAGGTGAGTAAACCAGAACTCCAGGGAGCGGATGCTGTGGGGAGACAGGGAGGGAGAGTGAGTCTCCCGTGGTGCGGTTGTAGCCAGAGGATAAAGTACAGAGGAGACAGATGCAAGGGTCAGACACAGGCAGAGAGAGGAATGAACACCTCCCTTTTGTGGCAAGGATGCTCCCTACGTCATTTCATGCAATGTCATTCTAGAAAGTCAACGGGTATGTGGGTGGGGGAGCTTGTGAATGTGTGAGTCACAGCCCAAGTACTTCTAGGACCGAGCCGTCTGGCCTAAGAAGTCGCGGCAGCTACTCAGGGAGATACGGGGCAGCTCGGGGCCGAAGACGATGAGCTGGACCCACACTCCAGAAAGCACAGGTACGTATCACTTCACAGTCCGTCTGCACAACATCTGACCCTGGTCCCCTAACTTCTTTCAAGGGAAAGCAGCTCTCCTTTCGTTGATTATTTCTCCCTAAGGCACTTGACTGCTAACCAGAACGCTGCCAGTTCAAACCCACCAGCCACTCCTCGGAAGGAAGACGGGGCAATCTACTTCTGTACAGATAGCGCCTTGGAAACCCAGGGAGGGGTCGCTCTGAGTCGGAATTGACTTGACAGCAGTGAGTTTGGTTCTTCAATGGTTTCAAAGACCCCAAACCCAGAGTCCGGCAGCACTGGTCCATGGGTGCACACAGGCAAGTGAGGCTGAGGCCATGGCGCTGGGCCAGGGCGCCCGGCTCCTGCGGTTCAGGCGGCTGGAGGAGCGTGTGGGCGGGCACACTCTGCTCCCCCCAATTCCTGTCCCTCTGCTCCAGCCGCCACCCTGTCAGCCACAGCTGCTGCTACCACCCTCTCAGCTGTGACCATGGCCCGCTCCTCCAACTGCCACCCTCTCAGCCGTGGCCACGGCCCATTCCTCTGGCTGCCACCCTCTCATCCGCTGCCATGGCCCGATCCTCAAGGTGCCACCCTGTCACCTACAGCCGCCGCCAGCGCCTGCTCGTTCCTCTGCCACCAGGAGCTTTAGCAGCAGCATGGCCACAGCAGCCTGGACACTGGCATAGGCTCCCATAAGGGTTTGATATGGTGTTTGCACAACGTCCAAATCCCAGAATGTCCTGGTTCACAGCACGTATCCTGGACATTAACTGACACAGAACTGAACTATGATACCGGTCCGTACGTGGATTACGGTTCGGCAGGGTTTGGAGCAGTGCTGAGCTGAGGGTCAGGGTTCACGATGCCCCAATGAAACTGAGAAATCAGATCCATTTCGGAATGAGCCTGACTGTAGGTTTGTAGAAAGAGCTCTGGTGGTGTAGTGCCTAAGGCAGTTGACTGCTAACCAGAAGGCTGGCAGTTCAAACCCATCAACCACTCTGTAGAAGGAAGACTGGGCAATTTACGTCCATAAAGATTTACCGCCTCAGAAACCCAAAGGGGGTTGCTGTGACTCGGAATTGACTTGATAGCAGTGAGTTTGGGTTTTTTTTGGTGGGTGTGTATAAGCAAAAGCCCGTGTGGGCAATCAGGGCCAGAGGCTGGGGCAGTGGGAAACCAGTGACCTGGTGACAGTGCAGCTAGGTGGGGACGATGTGAGCCTGAGGCCCAGCCACACATCCTGCAGTGCTACCTCGGGTTTGGGAGCTGGTGCCGGGCAGGTGGGGCCCGCTGGTGGCCTGCAGGAGCCCTGCACGTGGGCCCACACACTCACTTGAGCAGGCCAAGGATGAAGGCATTGAAACGCATGGCGTTGCTGGTGAGCTCCGGGAACTGGCTGACTTTGTTGCACAGGCCGTGTAGGACCTTGGTGGACGGGCCTGAGGGCAAGGTAAGGCCGGAGGTCACAGGACCAGTCTCCGGAGCCCTGAACTCCAGCCTGCCCCGTCTTGCCTCCAGCCTTACCTAGCTGTGTGGAGGCCTCGACCACACTCCACGGTGTGTTTTTCCGCTGTCCGATGATGACGTCCAGCACAAAGGCCTTTAGCCCGTCCTCCAGCACTGCCCGGACTGCAGGGCACAGGTACTTCAGAACCAGGTGGCCTACGTTGGGGCTCACAGAACTGTTCCCCAGCTTTGCCTGCAGATGCATAGGGAAGAACAGGCAGGCAGGCAGCTCAGTCTGACCCTGGTCCCTTCTGGCTAGCCCCAGCCCGAAGGGCCCCAGTCAGGGCTCCAGGTGCAAGACAGCAAGGGGGGGGGGCACCGGATAGGTAGGGGTCTGCGGGGCGGGGCTCACTCCCCATTCTCTCACCTACCTTCACTCCAGGATCCCGGCTTGTCCCAAAATGGGCAACAATGAGGTCCACAGCCGTGTTTACAGCTTTCACCAGCCCTGGAACCAGGATGTGATGTGTCAGGTCCCTGAGTTTGTCCACAGCCATTCAGCAGGGGGTGACCCTCAGTGGAGAAGGGCTAGCTTTCACACCTAGTCTCTGTACCTGCATGTAGGTCTCATTGAGACATCAGGCCCTGGTCCTCTGTCTAGTTTTCAAGCCCCTCCTGTCTTCACCTTCTAGCCTGAACCCACCTCAGAGATACCCTTGTCAAGACCTTCAACTTCTTCACTTTCCTGCCCTCTTACTCCAATCGTGGATCAATCCGTGTTGGGCTTCTCCACCGATTGCTGCTGGAGACAGGCCAAGCTCACTCACGCCAGGGCACACAGGGCAGCTCTTTGATTCCTTGTCAGCACCCTGTCCCACGCCCTCAGAGCCTTGCCTAACCCCTACCCTCCCCCTCAAGCCCTTGGTCCCACCCCCCACCCCCGATTTGCTGTACATAATCTCAGCTCCTCCTTCACAGAGACCAATCTCCCGCCCCTGAAACGCATGGACATCACATCCCCTCCTTCCCGAATCCCCTCCTCGTCTCTGGGAGGAGGCGAGTGCTGCGTCCTCCCCGCGGCCTCCCCTTTCCCTGAGCTCTGGCTCCCCCACCTGGCCTCTGCGGGAACTTCTGCCTCCTCACAGCGCCAGCGCCCTCAGTGCCTTTGCTGTCATCCCACTGAGCTTCGTCCTCAGTTCACTGGCTGCTTATTGGCCACGGAGTGGCTCCAGGTCAGCCCTCGTGTTACGTGTTACGAGAGGTTATCGGCACGGGTACCTGAGCCGCGAGGCCCTCTTGCCCCAAGCTCCCTTCCCTTTCGGAGCATGTGGGCACCGACTTGCTGCAGCTCCCTGAGGGGAAGGGACGGAGGCCCACCTCTCCAGCACCCGACAGGTGACCCTTGCTCCTCATACACACTCACAATACCGAGGACAACGACCTCCACCATCCACCTTCCACCTCCCCAGCTGAGCGCCCAACACCCTGTGGGCCACACAGTAGGGCCACAGGTGCACGTCGCAGTGACAGCAGACCCCTGGCCTAAGTCGGGGACGACAGGCACCTTTTTTCTGAAGCAGGTCAATGGAGACGGCCTCTGAGTTGCCATCTGGGGACAGACAAAACTCAGCTGGCGGCTTCTCAGTCAAGGAAAAGGGGTCTTGGAAGTCGGGGCAGGTCAGTGGCAGTGGCTTTACTACTTGACCTGGAAAGGAAAGAAAAATCAACTTCAAGAAACTCTCTCTCAAAGTTCCAGTCAGTCCTGTGCTTCGGCCCCTACCCTAGCCCTCCCCAGCTGTGGCGTGGCCCGCCCTGGCTATGCCTCGTGCCCTGAGGCGCGGCCCCTTCCCCAGCCCTTCCCAGCTGTGGCGTGGTCCGCCCTGGCTATGCCTCGTGCCC